ATTACAGGTGACACATGGCCGTCATCCTGCTTAATGCTCAGTCACTTTCCTTGCAGGTCTGTACCCGCACAGCAGGTCATGTCACCACAATACTGCTGGTCAATCCTCAAGCATTACTGCAGTGTAAACAGACAAAACAAGTGACTGCCATAAATCAACACACTCCACATGCAAGGCTCAACACTGCATGCATGCACACAAGTCCAGAACATATGCTAATGTGTGTGTAGGCTCATGTTTGTCCTCAGTGATTAATGTTATCTGGCTAATCTTGTGGCCGAGGCTGTGGCTTCGTGCTTCACAGGACACCACCCAGCCTTCAGCCTTGACCCCAAGGGGAAGACAGGAGTCCTCCAGAGGAAACACTGCTCATCTATCAACAACAGGCAACAACTGGAGGCAGAGGCCCCATGCTGCGCACACTGACCTGAGAGAAATTTTACTGTTGTTCCAAGGAGAGATTTGAGTTTGAGCCTCAAAACAGCTTAATTGTTCTGGGCAAAGAAAAGAATAAGAGTGGGAACACACTAAACACTGTAACCACAAGGTCAATAAGTGAAACCACAACTTTGTACACATGTGACAGCCTTTCCATGTAGCAGCGTGGCACCAAATTCCTGCAAAATGGTGTTTTTCTGCACAGTGATGAATCTTGATTTAACACATATTTTCATACTAACACATGCATGTTTGAGAGAGAATGAGGAAGTGTGGACAGCTTTGCTTTCGGTTCCCTGGTTATGTTTTCATAGTACCCAAAATCCACACGGCGCTACATCAAAATGTTTTTGCTGTACTGGACAAAATGCTGCTTCCTCTGTCTGGAACCTCCTGCAACTGGATTTAAAATTTGCTTCCTTCTCTGAACTGAAATCATTTCTGCAGAAACTGGACTGGGTTTATTAATTTCATAAATTTACATAGCTCTTGGGCCATTTAGGTAATTTCTAGGGTGAAATCTTTAGCATGTATTAAAAATGTCTTTCATTATTTTGTCATTCTGTTTACTTCTGATTTTGTGGAATATCTTGTCTTGTGTTCTTTTGTTATTGCTGCTGATCGTGGCCAGAACACTAATTAAAAAAAAAAGAGGCTTTCCTGGTTTAAGGAATAGTCAAGCCATTCTGGATGCATAAAGTGGAAACAGTGGCTCTGTCCACAATTACAACATCCACCTACAGGCCTGCTAAAGCTAAGTAATCATTATCGTTTATGTTGTTTATTTTACCCATACAAAAACTGGAACGTAAAAATGTTCTGGTTGTACAGGGGGCTATGTTTTTGCTGTTTCCTGGAGTCTTACATTTCAGTTTTTGTATGGAAGCGAGTAAACAAGATAAAACATGTTAATTACTGAGCTTTAAGGGGCCTGTTAAGCAGATTTTGTCCCTGTTTCCACTCCACGCTATGC